CACACTTGTTCCCATTGACGTCTGCAGGGCAGTGCAGCTGGAAGTGGCCCTGGGAGACAGGCAAAGGGTGGCCTATCCACGGTGCCACGGCCGGGAGGTACAGGCCCTGCTCGGCCTGAGCACAGGTCATGGCCTCAGAAACAGGCATCTGTCCCACGTGGAACTGGACACACAGCCACCGTTGCTAGTTCCCTCCCACCTCCCACCACACCTCTACCCCCGACCCTGCCTCCTGCTTGGGGGTTCTGGACCACGGCCGCAGTCTGCATGTGGAACCAGCAGGTGCTCTTGGGGACCCCAGCCACTCTCTCGGGAGGACAGGACCACAGGTGTCTGGTTTGGACTTGGGGAACCCCCTACATCTGGGGTCTGGAACCCACTTTTCGAAGACAGCCAGGGCTTGGCCATCTCCCCCCTCCCCCCCCTTCCCCGGATGTGGGACAAGAGCCCCCTCCCCTGGTCATGGGTGTGACCGAGGCCCCACCTGGTCCATCAGGCTTCGGCACCAGGCCGTCAGGCTCCCAGGGTCCACAGCGTGGCCACAGCTCATCTCCACCCGCTTCTGGCCATCATACTCGTCCCCTGTAAGGGTCAAGGGTCAGTCAGGGCCGCACAGCCCCTGGACCAGAGCTGAGGCTGGTCCTATGGCGCTCTGGGGTCTGAGAAAAGGGGTGAGACCCAGTTCAGGGAACATCCCAGGCTGTGCCCTGTCCCATCACATGTCTGGGGTCCCTGCACCCACTCCCTCACTGTGGTGCAGGTCATATGAGTCCCTGTCCCCAGTTCAGAGCATGGCCTCACCAGGAGAGGACGGCTCCCCTGGCTCCCCTGTGAACGTGGCAGACAATGGGCAGCATAGTCCCTTCCCTGTCCCCTTGCCAGCAAGGGGATCCCAACCTTGGGGGTACACTAGGAACCCTCTCCCTGCATGCCACTCAGGCAAACATGTCCCCTCAACCCCAGCCCCAGACACCACCATCCACCTCAGCCCTCCAGGACACCACACTGCCCCCTCCCCGCTCATCCTGCACCTCCACCCTCTCTCTGCCTCTCCCTCCCCCTCCCCCGGCCCTGGTCAGGTCTTTAATGGGCTCAGTCAGGGTGGGCAGCTGTGGCAAGCTGTCCCTGGGGACTGAGCTGCGGATAGCGGCAGACTGAGGCAGAGGAGGTCTTGTTCAGAACCTAGGAAGGGGTGAGTCTCATCACCCCCATGCCTTGTGTAAAGAAGCCTGTCTGTCCTGTCCTCAGAACCCAGAGCTGCCAATGCCCGGCTCACCGGTGATTTCGTCTTTGAGAGGCACGAACTTGAGCGGC